CAGGTTATGATACATACTTGGTATATTCAAATGTTGTCTACCACCTACTTAATAGAAGCTCTGTTCACTTCTGTCTAGAGAATAGGACAATACTCTGCCCAAAGCATACATCAAAATGCAAGACCTGATGAAAGTCTTTTGCCCTATTGCTGGTTGGAGGGCAGAAATTTAGGAGCTTGAAAACAAGAGAAAGTCAGTTTATCGCTCATGAAGAGGGATGCTTTCATACTGCTGTCATGGTTTTCTCATTCTTGTCAGCATCTCCTCTTGACCCAAATTCTTGGAGGACATTTAAGGTTTTACAGACAGATTCCTGCAGGAAAACTTGGAGTGTCTTATTTTCTCAGTGCAATCCCGTTATTTACATGAAGTGCATGTGACAACCTGTTTTCTTGAACACAGTAGGAATTAAATAAAATACAGGTTTTGGATTTACTGTTCCAAATCACTTCTGGCCAATACCCAGTCCACAAAGCTTTTCCCTTTTCAGACTCCTTTTTCCAGCTGTCTTGCCTTCCGGATCCACCTAGCTGCTTGCCCTCACAAGCTAATCAGTAACTAGCCAGGGCATCTGTCTTGTGTATGCAAAAGTTCATTTTGTAATAGCCCTACATACATGGCTGATAATCCCAGTCATTTCAGGTATCTTGTGTTAAAAAAAGGCTTTTAATTACTTTTTATATTTTTCCTCAATAGAGATTACTAAGCTTTCCAGCTGCAACAAGAGTTCAGGCTCCATCAGTTTACCCAAAACAGGCAGCACATGTCTTATGACCAGGTGTTGCTCAGTATATTACTCACTCTGTTTCCAAGGCAAAGCATAACACTGAACTTTTATTAGAGAAACACAAGTCAAATCTGAAACCTGTTCAATCTTGAGACATTCTTTTGGTACTTGCAACAACTTGATTCTATGATTCTAACAGAATTTTGTTGAAATTCAGCCTCTGCAGTTATATGAGGTCATATTGAGAAGTAATAAGGGATCTCTTCAGGCTTACTCCTCTCATTTCAGTTCAAGTCACTGAAAACAATGTGCCACCTTAGAACATCTGGATTTAGAATGTGCCCATCATATTCAACATTTAACCAACTACACAGAATGACCTATAAAGTTAGGCTCAAGTAAACACTGGGCAAGTATTACATGAAACTAAAGCTCATACTAGAACTAAGGGATGGAGGTGTTTTGTCTGAGCCATTCACACCCACAAGAACCTGCTCTGAAGATGACACTGATATCTGGTGATTCCCTGCTTTGAAAACAACATGGAACCAGTCACCACTAATTCCAGTTCTAGAAACAACTACATTTAGTGTTGTGCAACTGGCACATTTTGTTTTCACATGCTGCATGTGATCAAGTAACTACCCATTATACAGACAACCTTTGAAAGGAAGGGTGGGGATTTTTAGCTAGGCTCTCTAGAAAGCATGTAAGACATGTTCTCACATAGGAAAAAAGCATTGCTGCCTTTTCAACTGGAGGACATTCTTTAGGCTTGTCTTGAAATGGCAGTTCAGACAGCAAAATAAACACCCCTTAAAAAAAAAAAAGAAACAACTTGTGCAAAATTATCACTAAGAATCCATCAGCGTGTGGCCCACATTTGCTAGTATCTAGACTTCTCAGTAAAAAATAGAACTAAGCTAAATTCTGTTAAGCAATATCTGTACACTTTACTGATGAGTTGTTTATACTCAGAGTATTATATCAACTTTAAATTGTTCGCTACAGTGTGTAAAACTTGCTAAAACAAAAGGATCAAACAGCAGCTTTGATAACTTTGCAAACAGCAAGTTGTGGCTTTCTTACAAATAGGGAGATGGTAGTAGTTTCCCTTTCCTGTTTAAAAAAGCAGCAAGCTGCAGCTGTTAAGATTTTTTTAAGTAAGTTCATTTTAATCTTTGATGCCTGATCAACAGCAGCAGACCTTTTTCCACCTGTATCCCTGCTGCAGCTCTTGTCAGGACTCACTAATACAGTTTTTTCATTTTAATGTTGGCTTTCTCATTTGTTTGGTTACATCTGCAACATCCTCCCACGTAAGGGGGTAACTAGTGCCATACCCCATTTTGTACTCCTAGCCATGTTTCGCTGCATTTGCTTTTGCAGCAGCCTTTCTTACTTTGAAGTCTGCCAGCACAGTACGAGTTAATCAGCATGCAAAAATTCTGATCTATGACTATGCTGCAACCGGCAGCATCAAACAGCACAAGCACAGGGTGAGAAGTTTTGCATCCATTTGTTTAAAAATTAACTCAGCTTTGCATGCACCTCTGCAGCTCCCTCCAAAAGTAATTGTGGCAAAAAGACTTCAGAAAAGTTTCTCTAGGTTGGCTGAACTCTACTACATTCGCTCTTCCTGAGGAGGTATGTTTTCACAAAAGAGAGGAAAAAAAAATACAGTCACATGAAAAAGTGGCAATTAAATGTGTGGGATTGCCACCAACATTTAAAGCATTCTGGAGAGAACTGTCAATCGAAGCAGTATTAGGCCAACTCAAACTCTCACAACTCTTTTCCCTTTCAGAGTCTGCTGGTGGACTTAATCTGCCCCAACTCCACCATGATACAACGGCACAAACAGAACCTAGAACTCAATGGACAATTCCTGCTTAGAAGATACAGTCACCAGAAGGACTGACCGTACAACCACATTCTACTCTTCAGCCTTTCAATCTCCTCAGGTAAGATGGCACCCCCAAGACACACTGACCACGTGGCTAGAACAATCCGTTCTTACATTATTTTATGCCCCTACCTTGTCTCTGCACATTTTCTGCCTGTTTCTTCAGCCATCTCCTCGTCCCAGTTTGTACTTCCTTACATACAGCAGCACTTCATTGGAATAGGACCTTATTTCTTGTGCAGGGACCAAGTTCCTGATCTGCCTAATCCTTCACAATTTATTATTTGGCAAGACCTTTTCATCACATTTGTCCTACCTCTTTTCTGTTCTGTAAAACATTATGAGTGCTCAGATCAAGTATTTTTGAGGTATAGACATATATTCTTTCTTAGCTCTTACAAAGCCAAGGAGAAACCACTAAACAAAAAAAAAAAAAAAAAAAAAACCAGACAGTACTTCAGCTATGTGCTTGTTTATTGGAAACTTTCATTGGGAACTTAGCAAGTATTTTCACCATTAAGTACAATGGCGGTCCAAAGTATCACACTGCACATGATGCAAATTATAACGGTGATAAAAACCTGAAAAGCCACACAACAGTACTGCCACATGTATGTTGTTCTTTATGTCTGTTGAATGACATAAAAAAATACACTAAAGTCTTCTGAAAATAAAGTTTAACATAAATACAAAGCCAACATAATAAAAGATGAACTAAGTTCTCTAAACTTCTAGACTAAATTCTGAAGAGTATTGCCTCTTCATTTACAGTTGCATTTTTTTTTAAAAAAATAAAACAAAAAGATTCCACTAGCCTGCTGAATGGAAGAAATTATTAACTTGATACCAAAAGTTGCATTCTCGGAAGACAGTTACACAAACATGCGTTAGCATGCAGGCTAATTTCTCCCTTTCACCCTAAAACACCCTTAAAAACAATTCTCTAAAAAATATAATTTAAAACAGCACTGTGACACGTGACTTGAAAAAATTGCCCCAAGTCAGTAAAAGCATATTGCACATTACTTGTATTGCTGTCCTGAGAACTTTCAGAGAAAAGACAAACCAAGAGTACTGCCTTCAAAGAAATTTACATAGTGGTTGCATATATCAAAACTGAAGTTTCACATTTGCAGACGTCCATTTCTTGTAAATATCTACATTAAGATAAAAAAAGCCTATACGGTTTTTTGAACCATCCTCTCTGGTTTCAGCTGAAAAAGAAACCTTTGGATACGGGGCAGTAGGTGTGTGTCTCATTGCAAAGAAGCAACAGGATCTTCAATTTACCAGCTACATTTTTGAAGAGAATACCAAGATGGTATTTAAAAAACTAAGTCAGCATTGTCTAGCACTGCAATCAAACTCTAATTTCACAGTGAAGTTAACCAGTTCCCTATCTTTGCGCCCATTAACACCAGTTCTTCTGCCCTGAGCCTCAACTACTGCTACAAGTCATTGAGCCCAAAAGATGAAATAACTGAAGGCAGTGAACCTTTCAAGAGTTTTTCCAAGAGGATTTTTTCAAGTAACATTAAATCCCTGATAAAGCTCATGAACAATTTTACTAACAATAATCTCCAGTCTCAAAAGCAGCAGCATGTTAAAAGACCTAAGAGATGAGTTAAGGTTTTGTTTTTGTTTCTAAAATACTTGAAGGCAGAGTGATGTTCCGTTCAACAGCAGCACATTAGATTCCAAGAGAATTTTAAGTCAAATATGATTTGATAGTCTTTTGGCCTGTTTTTCTTTTTTTCCTTTTATTCTAAAGTCTTACTCCTGAACTACCACTTCTGCTCAAAGAAAATGGAAAGCGTTCTACACGTAGATTTTTGCATAAATAAAGTTCACGTTTAACTGATACCAATTTCAGTATATTTTAGTAGAAGCGTCCAGTGTACAAGCTGCCACTGTTCAAGCAACACATCACTGGGAGAGAAGGAGAGCACTCCATGTTTTCCAACAACATCCTCTAGGTTCATTGCTACTTGGCCAGAAATTCAACAGACACTCCAGCCTGAAACAGCTTTTCAACACAAGCTTTCATCCAATTCTGACGAGTCACTAACTGAAGACTAGAAGGAAGTAATCTCCACAGGGTTTCTACACAGATGCCTCTCAAAATGACACCGAGTGAGGTATATTAGTGAATTTCTATTTCTCTCTCTCATTAAGAGGCAAAGGTACAACCCTTGGCAGAAAGGCACCCAGGTTCTGTTGATCAGTGGATCCAGATCAACATCTTCTGAACAAGCGAGTCATAAGGATTCTGTTCCTTCGTGGTTTCCATTCAGATACACATCTTGCATCACACACAGGGTCTCTTCTTCAGCTTCTAATCACATCACCTTTTTCTCCCGTCAATATTTATCCGTCAAAACACCCAGCTGCATATGAGTGATGACCACTGAAGTAACTACTGCCATATGCCGAGGAAATGCAGTGTCTGGGCTCTGTTCCTAAGGCCACCTGCACAGCAATGGGCGTTTGGATGGGCAGAGCCTGGGCAGATGGCCGAAGCCTGGCCTGAAGGGCTGTGCAGGAGTGCGGCGAGCCCTCCGCACTCCCGGCGAGCAGACCGCTGGGCCTCTGGGCCTGTAAGGACTCACGATAAGCAGAGCACAAATCTTGCACTGGCGACTGGAACTGGGAAAGCGTAGCTGAATGCTGGGCTAAAGGGTGATGACTAGATTGCTGGAAGAGAACTTGAGTAGCGGCTTGATGGCTCAGATTTCCCACTGCTTCCTGTTCTTGATGTTGAGTTGTTACTTGCTTTTTCATGTTACTGGCTTCTTTGATGTCATTCTCATAATATCTGAAACAAATTATAAGTAAGATTTATCAAAGAGAGAAGTTCACAGAGCTTGCATATATCCCAAAGTTTTCACCAGTCAGGCTACATCAGCTTTTTGGCCCTAGTTGTATGTGGTAATCCTCAGTTGCCTTCACAATTCATTTCTAATTATCTTGCTGTGATCTTCACACGCTAACAACAGGTTTATGGATCATTTTGCATCACAAGTATGTTTTTACTGATGGACTGGTTATCTTGGAACCTTAGGTCCACAACACAAAGATATTTTAAAATAGCCTGTGTATTTGCAGAGTATTAAAGTGCACAGCTATAAGGGAACAAGGGAAATTCCTTTTAGGTATCAGGAAGAAACATTTTCACACTTTTGATTATCATGGGAACGATGAAGCACTGGAACAAGTTGCCCAGAGAGGTTTGGAAGTCTCTGTCTGTGGAGATAGTCAAAACTTGACTAGACAACACCCTAAGCAGTCTGATTTAACTTCAGTTGGCCCTACTTTAAGTAGGAATTCAGAAGTTACCTCCAAGGTCCACCATCACTCCCAATCTAAATCATTCTATTAAACTTTTTTAATTTTCTGTTAAGACTCTATGTGCTCAAATACCAGACCAGTATTGATGCATCGCAGTCATGTCCTTTACTGGATAAAAAACAAAGAATAGTTCTGAAATGTCTCCCTACTGTATTCTTGATGTTAGAGATACACTGGTGTCTCTCTACAGAAAATATATTGCAGGTACAACGAGAAAACAAAGGGGAAAGAACCCTTCACCAACTATCTGTAAAAGCTTCCATCCAATCACACAGACAACCAGTACAAGAAAAACATAACAAACACTAAATTGTGAACTCCATTCCACATTGCAAATATTGTTAAAATACAGTATTTAGTAAAGTGACCTGATTTTTCCCTTTTATTCCTCTCCCCAAACTGAAGATGGAGGTTACCAATGTAATACTGTACTCTTAATTACAGCTAAACAATTACTTTAAAAATAGTAATAATAATGATAATAAAAAAAATTTAAAAAAGAGTATTAACATCTTCCTAAGAGCACAGGCAGGTTACATTCTTTCTGATCTTACATGAGCATCATTTCAATGCATTGGGCAAGATGTTCCCAGGAATAACATGTTAGCAATTCAAGCTGTGTTGTCCAAGCAGGAGAAATTTGCATACAGATACGTGAGGTGCACACACAAGCTGCAGCAATCAGAGATGGACGAAAATGGAGGAAAGTGTGATCTACAAAAAAAAAAAGCGAGGATTATACTCTTGCTAATCACTGCAGTGAGCCTATTATGTGTATACATGGCAAAACAGGACAAAATTAAATTCTCAGCTTTGTTCCACGCATCTCAGAGTATTAACTCATGACCAGAAAAAGTCTCTCAAAAACTGGATGAAGCTTTCCTGAAGATCTCTGTACTACCTGTTGTAACTTATCAAGGCTTCACGACAGTTTCTTTCATTTCATAAAAAGCCACAAAATAGACTGTGCTGAAATCTGCAGACTGTCTCAACTGAACCGAAGTTAGGTATTGACAATGACACACATATTTACATTAGTGTTGAAACCAGCTTATGAAGATGCTGCATTGCCTCTCACATGGGCAGATATTGGAAGCGATGCTGCAAACCACATCACTAAAAGTCCTGTCATTCTAAATATGTCATGTCTTGCAGCACAGGACCCTCTAAAAATATAATTTAAAAAAATTTAGACATTGAACTGCATAATACCATGTCTGCAGCTAACAGTAGTTCATACTCTGTGGCAGATCAAACATTAGACCCCATTTCTGACAGTGTCTCCAATTAGTGTTCTAAGCTGAAGAAAAAAATTGATCTCATCTAGAGATTTCTGAAAAGAGACAAGAGGCTTATGCACAAGAAAAGGACACCGCACCATTTGCCATCTGAAATAACTGCAAAGAGAAACAATTCTGCACAGATAATTTTGTGCAATCCATATTATGACAAGTTTTAAAGGCCTTATCTCTTTCAGATTTTTGCCTTTTGCCAAATGGAAGATCATTCTAGCATAGAACTAAGCCTCTTACCTTGCACTGAGAAATCAAGGAAATAATACGCATATTTCTCCAGAAAAGCTTTGATTTTGGTCAGTGAGGTGATTGGCCAGCCATTGTGAAGGTCATTCTCGCCAACAGACACATAGAGGTAGTAGTCAATGTAGTGTGCTGGTGTTGGGAGACAGAGGTTCCAGTTGAAGTTTTCCAAAAGCAGCATTTCCATTCTAAGCAAGTCTTTCTTGTTCAATACCACATTCACATTGCACATGCATGCCAGGTTATTTAAGTGCTCCAGCTTTGGAACTTTATCTTCTTTTTCTTCAAATTTACCTGCCAGAAGAGTCATTTTCAGATAAGATTTATCATTATGATTGAATGTCCAAAAACCAACAAAGAACACTCTCCAAACCAGAAAGTCTAATGATAAAAGGTGCTTTCTTAAGGAGGATGGGAAAGTACAGTGACACAAGTAGAAAAGAGGCCAAAAAGTAGAAAAGAGGCCAACAGTCTGGTCAACATATTCCTATATCCTTTTTATGGTTTGTTTTGTTTGTTTTTAATTTTGTGTAGTACTGATGCCAAAACCAAGATTATAAACTCATTAGGATTACAGATAGTTTTTCTGACAATAACTGGAAGCGGTTTGCTGAAGGGCATTCAGTCAAGTGTGAAGAAAGCAAGCAGTATGGGGAAAATACGGCAAAGGAAGATCTAATATTGAGGAAAAAAAGCTCCTTTGGGTATGGAAGCTAAATGCACATGCTGCAAAAAGGAAGACATTAAAAACCCTGGGGCAACACCACCTTTGCCCTTGCTGCTTCAGAATTTCTTTGTTCCTTACTGTCTTGGAGGGCCTCATTAGCTAAGGTCACTGAAAGACTAGGAGAAGTACACTGTAACCAGGTGATTAACATAAATAATTCCTATGGGGTTAGGAGAGAGCATACATTTTCAGAGTCAAGATAGCTGAGCAAAGCTGCACCTTTTTCTAAATTGTATTTACCAGCCTGCTGAAACAGCAGTAGTCTCTAGAATGACTCAATTTTCACCAGTAGCTACAAAGTGCTGTTATTTTCTACAGAAAAACAGGATCTCACTCTATTCACCCTTCTTTTATAAAAACCATCCCATATCAGATTCGATTCTCAGGATTAGATCTATCAATAATAAAGTAACAGTGCTACTTTGCTGCAAACTTAAGAAAGCAATTAAGTATTCTTAAATTCACACTGTTGGTTTACCACGCCAAAAATGACCTATCTACCAGCAACTCCTTGTTCAAGAGCCAGCAACAAACAATCACCAGTAATAAGTTTCTAGTACAGCTTAAAGAACATCCCTGCTGCAAAATCCAAACCCATAGCTACTTAAAAATACTCTGTAGTTATTTTTCCTCTTTCTTCTTGAGGGCATATATGCCACAATTGATTCTTGCTTCGGTTGTCCTTCCATTGCCTCTATAAGAGTCCTCCTTTACGAACACAGACCAATTGACAAGATATTAGTGTGCCATACAGCTTCAGATATTCTCATCAAAAACAATTAAAGCGAGTATTGCACTAGAAAATTATTTTAAAAGGAAGCAAGATCTTGCCATCCATTTAGGATAGCAATTTCATCCCGTGTCTCCAGTGTATTAAAAACCTGACAATTTTCTGTACTATTAGCAGCTTAAGTGTCTTTTTAACACATTTAAAAATGGATTTCCCATCTTTGAGCCCATTCAGGTATCATGGATATGAAATGCATTAAAAGTGTAATACAGCAGCCACCCCACCATAAAAGAGCATAACAATAACAATGAAAAACAAAATTCATCCATCATACAAAGTAGAACAGAAAAGGATTGTAGGCACACTGTCAGTGAAAAAGCCTTAAAATTCAGGAGTTTGTATACACGTTCATGAATCTCCTTGTCACCTGAATTTAGAACTGTTCAAGAAAAATGAAATTTGAGAGAAAAGTTAACCCTTTGTTTTTTCCCCACAAGGTGGTATCACAGCCTGATACAGAAATTTAAGGAGTATGCTAGCAGAAGTAGGAGGAACCACTGCATGCCCAGGAAACTAAGGACAAGATCTCTCATTCTGGCTTCCGGAAGTTCTAGTTCCTTCTTTCTTCCCACTCAACCTTGGAAATTTCAAAAGGTCAGACTATAGTCTGGTGAGTAGACTATCAGTACAGTAGTGTTGGGAAGGTGTCACACCAACATAGGGCAAAGCTATTTGAATTGATCAAGATCATTCTTCTTTTAAAGTTAAAAATAATTGACAACAGCTAAATTTAGTGATTTAGATTACTAGTTATTTATTATTTCCTCCCTTCTGCTTTCCAACACTAGTTCCTAGCTTTAATGTTAGGTAACAGTGGCCACTGCAGCAGATTGGAGACACCAAGTATAAATGTAGCTAGGTAGGTTGAAAAAAGGCTCCAAAGCTGAGTTGGAAATGGGGGGAGAGAAATCAGGTCAGAAGTTTTGCTTCAAATAAACTGTGAAATTTGAATATGAGCTACTTTCCAAAGCAACATACAAGCAACTTTATCACATTTTCTTTCCCAATTCCACCTTGACCTAAACACTTTGCTTCCAAGTTTACTAAGCACTTCCCACCTATTTTTAAATTGAAATCTCAAGAAGACAGCAAAAGTTAGTTCATTCCATCAGATCAAAGAGATCAGAGGCAAGCTGGGAAAGAACAAATTTAAGATGTTTTTAAGATGCAGTGTGTCCTTTTCCACTTCCCTGATTTAAAGACATGGGAATATACTATTCCTATTTTTGTTCCTTCAATTACACCAGAAACGAGATTCTATGCACAACATATTTATGCTGAAAGAACCAGGACCTCCAACACAATTGCTGCAAGAATATTAAAGGCTCGGACAAGACAATTGCAAGTCTAGTATTGACCAAACAAATACACTGACTGGTTTAATCAACATCACACTTTGGGAAGAAAAACAAAGCTGCTTCAGCTACATTATCACCTGGAGTCTGCAGTTTGAAGTTCATGAGAATTGCATATGAGTCATTTGCATGCTTTTGAAATGCCACTGTAGACACTTCAAATTAAAAGTTTGCTGTTGTGTTCTGAGCTCCAGTTACTGATAAAACCATTTAGTTTTCACTATTGCCCTCAAAAATAGTTTTGTTTTGAGGTAACAGAATCATAAGCCTTTAAAAGAATGCTTAATTTAAGAAGTATCTGGATGCTGCATATTTTTATACAAGGAGGCCTACTGAGGCCAATAGATGAACAAAATAAGATGAATGTGTAACGTAGGTTTACATTTGTGACCAACTGTTTTGTAAAATCCAAATAGATGGGGGCAGCATGGGACATTTTTAAGAGTGTGTAGTATTACCATAATTAATGATGCAAAGATTTTCCAAGTTACTTTAAATCATGTTCTGTCCCACTCTGAATTCTACAATCAGATGCTCCCCCAAGGAAAAAAAGTGAGGGCTTTTTATGTTACACATTCACACTTTTCTTTTGATGAATGAAAGCCAGAAGTCCTGTTGTCAAGGGGAACAGGCTTAAGTTATGAAGAGTACATTTCATTAGTACATTTGTCACATTATCAAAACAGCCTATCAATCCATGCCAGCTTTTCTCTAGGAAAAACTAAAGGTCTCAGAGGAGCATCACTGCTATCAAATGTACCTTGAAGAACTGATTCATCCACTGTAGGAGGCAAGAGTCACTATGTACACCTAACTACGCAGCATGCAGTTCAGACTGATTACTGGCGGTTGGGTAGATGATCTTCCTGGGCTTTTGCATGGGTAGCAAAACAAAAGCAGGACATGCAGGCAATTTGTTTTATTACATTTTCAGAGTCCTTGAGAAGACCAAGGAACAAAAAGGACTGCCAATTTAAAGAGTCATTAAAGTGTGACTACTTTTTGTCCCATGAACAATTAAAATCAATCCAAAAGAAAGACAAACCAGTCAAGCCCATCTATCCCACCATAAAGAAAAGACCTACAGCTGCTTACACAGCTGAAGGACTACTTTTCTTTATTCCTACGTTGTTGCAGAAGGTGGTACAACAAACTTCTAAGACTCTGTCCCATGCCACCCCCAGATACAAACACAGCTTCTAACTGTCCTCTAAGCAAGGCGAGAAGAAGACAGGCTATTTTAGAAATAGCCTGCTTAATTCCTTTTTCTGCAGTGTCTTGCAAAGTGAGCAGTCAGGGATTTTTCATCAGTCTGTACAATACCTAGCACACATGCAAACCACTTAGCTCAAGGCACCCGAGTTTTTAATGCCTTACTATAGTAAAGTTTAATTACTAAAGAAAATATTCTGTACATGTTACAGCAACAAGGAAATAAAAGAAAAAATTAAGACTACAGACTATGTTTTGCACTAATCCATATCCTAGGCTGACACCACTATTGTCTTTAACTGAAAATAAGTAGCTCAGCTGTCTTTGTCAGAACAGTTACCTGCTCGTGAAAGTGGGACAATAAATGGAGAATGGATCACAAAGCACAGTCCAATAGAAAAGCTGCCTGATGTCTGACAACAGCTCCACATACTCAATGGGGAATTAGGTGATAAAGGACTATCCATGCCCTAAACTCAGCCCATTTAGCACAGACGTCTTTTCTTGCTCTAATTTCTTTTATTGTCCTGAGTTAACTCAGCTGCTGAGAATCCACTGGCAGATTAAGGAGCTGGGCAAAATAAAGCCACGAAAACCACCAGAAGTACCCAAGTACTCTGTGAAACAATGCAGCACTGGATGTGCTGAAGAGTAAGCTAGCTTTGCTTAAAACAATACTCAAATTTAAAAACTGTTATCATGTCTCCATAGCAGCAGAACCCTCTTGAGGAAGAGGGGTCACAAGAACTAGAATTGCTGGAACATTCAATGCCACTGAATGGCTGAGAGAGATGTTGCTTTGACCAGGTACTGAAGCACCTGCTACTGAAGAGGCTTCGCTCTTCAGGGAAGAGAAGAGCAGCATTTAAGACCCAGCTAGGATTTTACAGCAACAAGTAAAAGCTGCACTGCTTTAACTATTCTGATACACCATAACAGTACAGCCCCCATATACACAGTTACAAACTCACAGAAGAAATAGTTGCAGCGGTTTAAGACTTACTGCCCAGGTGCTTGCTCTTTCCCCAGAGTGTGCTGCTCCTGGGGCTGGACGTCTGAATGGATTGTGTCAGTGCCATCTACTTTGGGGCAGCTGGTTTGCACAGCTTTCAGCAGGCAATTTGAGCCAAGTAGCACTAAAGCAGATGGGATATCTTTACACAATCCCTTTTTCTAACAGAGCACTTAGGGCTAGAGCACCTTAAAATAT